CTCGGAGACTATTTTCCGGGAAAATGTCTCCATGGCTCTCTGAGCTCTCTTGCTCTTCGTCGGCAGTTATAGAACCAACATCTTCTCTTCCAGTTGCAATCCAATGGCTGAGATTTGTTTTCCTCTCTCCATGCCCTCAACGTGTTCTCTTCTCCGCCGTAGATCTTCTATTCCTCGTCGTCCTCCTCTGTTTCGCCCTTCACAAGCTCTTCTCTTCTTCTTCCACCACTCATACCGAAACCAACGGAAACTCGGAGATTAGGAAACCTCTAATCGGAAACCATGAAAGAATCCAAACCAGAACAACCGCTTGGTTCAAAACGACGGTCATAGCCACCGTTTTACTGCCTTTATTCTCCGTCGGGCTCTGCGTTTTGGCTTTCACGGGGAAGCGACCGACTCAGAGACCATGGAATCTCATAAATCCTCTGTTTTGGCTCATTCACGCCGTCACAAACGTCGTCGTTGCGGTTCTCGTCCTCCATGAGAAGAGATTCGCAGCGTTGAATCATCACTTGTCTCTAAGAATCTATTGGGTTTCAAGCTTCGTCGTCACAGCTCTCTTCGCCGTAACCGGAGTTTTCCATTTGGTCGCCGCGAGTCTGAAAGCAGAAGACTTTGCTTCCTTCTTCTCCTTCCCATTAACCGCCTTTCTTCTCATCGTCTCCGTCAGAGGAACCACCGGACTGGTCACAACGGTGACGGATGGGAACAACAGTCCTACGAAACCACACGATGCCGTTTTGGAGAAATCCGACAACGTCTCTCTCTACGCATCTGCCTCTGTTTTCTCTAAGTTGTTTTGGTTTTGGATGAATCCTTTACTTAGCAAAGGATACAAATCGCCATTGACGTTAGAGCAAGTCCCGACTCTGTCTCCAGAGCACAAAGCAGAGAAGCTCGCGCTTCTCTTCGAATCGAGCTGGCCCAAACCGTCGGAGAATTCGAGCCACCCTGTCCGAACGACACTAGTTCGATGTTTCTGGAAGGAGATCCTCTTCACGGCGATACTAGCAATCGTCCGTCTATGCGTCATGTACGTAGGCCCTGTTCTCATACAGAGCTTCGTCGATTTCACCTCCGGCAAGAGATCCTCTGCGATGCAGGGTTACTACCTCGTCCTCGTCCTCCTCGTCGCCAAATTCGTGGAGGTTTTAACGACTCATCAGTTCAATTTCAATTCTCAGAAGCTTGGGATGGTTATAAGGTCAACTCTAATCACTGCATTGTACAAGAAAGGTTTAAAGCTCACCGGCTCGGCGCGTCAGGACCACGGTGTTGGACAAATCGTGAACTACATGGCCGTGGACGCACAACAGCTCTCTGACATGATGCTTCAGCTCCACGCAATCTGGCTTATGCCTTTACAAGTGACTGTTGCGCTAGTGCTTCTCTACGGAAGCCTAGGCGCGTCTGTCGTGACCGCGATCATTGGCCTGACCGGAGTTTTTGCGTTCATCCTATGGGAAAATAAGAGACATAACGGATTCCAATTTAGCTTGATGGGAGAACGAGATTCTCGGATGAAGGCTACCAACGAGATGCTTAATTATATGCGAGTGATCAAGTTTCAGGCTTGGGAGAATCATTTCAACAAAAGGATCCTCAAATTCAGGGACTTGGAGTTTGGTTGGCTCTCTAAGTTTCTTTACTCGATAGCCGCCAACATCATTGTTCTCTGGAGCACGCCGGTGCTTATTTCTGCGCTCACGTTCACTACCGCGCTTGTCTTGGGAGTCAAGCTTGACGCTGGGACTGTGTTCACCACCACGACCATTTTCAAGATCTTGCAAGAACCCATCAGAACGTTTCCTCAGTCTATGATATCTCTCTCGCAGGCAATGATCTCTCTTGGGAGACTGGATTCGTACATGATGAGCAAAGAGCTATCGGGAGAGGCCGTGGAAAGAGCATTAGGGTGTGATGGTAGTACCGCGGTGGAGGTTAGAGATGGAAACTTTAGTTGGGATGATGAGGACAGCGACCCTGCACTCAAAGACATCAACTTTAAGATCAGGAAAGGAGAGCTCACGGCGATAGTTGGAACCGTTGGTTCGGGGAAATCTTCTTTGTTAGCTTCGGTTCTTGGCGAAATGCACAAAATCTCGGGCCAGGTAGGACTTTTCTGACTTAGAGAATTAACAACACTAGCTAGGAACATTGATTTGATTCAAAACTGGTTTTGTTTGTAGGTGAGGGTTTGTGGGAGCACAGGTTATGTTGCACAGACATCGTGGATCCAGAACGGGACAGTTGAGGACAACATATTGTTTGGTCTTCCGATGGTTAGAGACAAGTACAACAAAGTTCTCAATGTTTGTTGTTTAGAAAAGGACCTGCAAATGATGGAGTTTGGTGATCGGACTGAGATTGGAGAACGCGGAATCAACCTCAGCGGAGGGCAGAAGCAGCGTATCCAGCTCGCACGTGCAGTCTACCAAGAATGCGATGTATACTTGCTTGACGATGTTTTCAGCGCCGTGGATGCTCATACCGGTTCGGACATATTCAAGGTAACAAGGGATCCAATTATCTTAATGTATCTTTAAAATGCATTACAAGTTTGATTATGGTTATTGTGATGTTCGTTGCAGAAATGTGTGAGAGGGTCTTTGAAAGGCAAAACAATCTTGCTCGTAACACATCAAGTGGATTTCTTGCACAACGTTGACTGCATTTTGGTTATGCGGGAGGGAAAGATTGTCGAATCAGGAAGATACGACGAACTAGTCAGCTCCGGGTTAGATTTCGGGGAGCTCGTGGCTGCGCACGAGACATCAATGGAGCTAGTTGAAGCTGGTGCAGACTCTGCTACAGCAGCAGCAACAATCGCGACATCCCCAAGAACACCAATGTCTCCCGGTGGAAGTTCTCCGAGAACGTCCATGGAGTCTCCTCACTTAAGTGATCTGAACGATGAACACGTCAGGTCATTTCTTGGTTCTCAAATAGAAGATGGCTCGAAGCTCATCAAAGAGGAAGAAAGGGAAACTGGACAGGTTAACCTACAAGTTTACAAACAGTACTGCACCGAGGCCTATGGCTGGTGGGGTGTTGTGCTTGTGGCGTTCTTCTCTCTGACATGGCAGGGTTCTCTGATGGCGGGCGATTACTGGCTCGCCTACGAAACATCGGGCAAGAATGCAACTTCATTTGATGCCTCTGTTTTCATTCGTGTATATGCCATTATTGCACTTGTTTCCATCGTTTTGGTGACCATCCGGTCATATTACGTGACCCACTTGGGACTCAAGACGGCTCAGATCTTCTTCCGGCAGATTCTTAACAGTATCTTACACGCTCCCATGTCGTTCTTCGACACCACGCCATCGGGGAGAATTCTCAGTCGGGTGAGATATCATAAAACTTTCACCGTCGTAGTCCACATACAAAGGATTTGAGAAGAGAGATGCTAAAGGTCAAATTTTTGCAGGCATCGACTGATCAGAGCAATGTTGATCTCTTCATTCCATTCATACTCGGACTTGTGCTCTCAATGTACACCACTCTACTGAGCATTTTCATAGTTACTTGCCAATACGCTTGGCCAACTACATTTTTTGTGATTCCCCTTGGATGGATTAACATCTGGTATCGGGTATATGCGTCTC